GCCAGTCAACAATATAATCCCCATCTTAGTTTTGTGAGAGCACCAAATCAGCAACAATGTCATGTTTCTGATGCAGAAATTGCCCCCAGCCATAAAATATACAAATAGGATGTCAAAACCCCCATCAATATTTTATTTGTCTGCGAGTAACCATTACATTGGCGGCATGTTATTTGGTCATTAAAACATTTATGTACCAACTTCTAGTAGTCCCAATCATATCAACATACATTTCGGTCGGTCCTGCAATATACAACATGTACAAAAGGAGCGTGTACATTCCGTTTCCTGTCTGTTGCCGCGATCATATGATTACTTATCACTAATATCTACTCTAGGATAGCCTGTGGAATTATTGCAAATATCAAATATTATAGATTGGTTGTTCTTGATCTGACATAACCCAAGCCTGTAATCACCATCAAAATGAAATGTGAGATTTTCTCATCTGTATATGATTGCGTGGTACACCAGGAAATAGAAGATGTCCAAATGTAAATTATTGCTACTGGATTCATGCTTTCATGATAATTACTTAACCCCGAAGGGTCAGTGCATTAGAACAGTTAACAATATGCTGAACTAAAAGAATTAGTGACCAAGAATATTTTGGGGATTTTGTTTTATTTGTGAAAATAGCACTCAATTCATAAAAATATCCCCTAAATATTCATGATCCTTAACTTTATTTGTTCAGTATACCCTGAAAAGGGTAAAAATTTGGTGGCCATAATTTGCACGGACATGATGACGTTTGCTTACAACTGACATTCAATAACCACAATTAAGACAGTGTCATTAATATTTATGATAACTTAATGAAATATTTACTATTTCATGACTAACGGCTTCGGATGGCAAGATCAACATATTTCGAGGGAATAATGATTTGTTGTGTTGTTTGTAGTAATTATTGTTTGAACATCAATATTTACTTCAGTGCTATCAATCTTCATCAAGGGCAGAGATAATGTTTCCGAGCGACTAAAAAGTAAAGCTTGATTAATTAGTTGTTGGCCGTAATAGGTTGAATTGCTACTATTTTACACAGGTATCCCAGCATCCCTCACTCACTGGTAATACGTTTCTGTCGCGCTGAAGGCCAGTGCCCAAAACTGATACAATCGTAGAAAGGTAACGTTTCCCTGAAGAGAAGTATTTTTTGTCAGTACGATTGACAGAATTAACTTGTAGCAGGCGACAGAGCCTCTCTCTTTACCATGAGCTCAGATCAAAGTGCTTTTAATTACAGCACAGAAATCAGGTCTTAGCTTTATAATCCAAGGTAAAAATATCGAGTACATGTCAAGAAAATATGTCATTCTGTCAGCTTTGGAGTCATCACTCAATCTGAAGCCGGTGCTCTTTTAAATAGGAGATAAAAAGACATGATGTAGCGGTAATGTCAAGTCACCAGTTGGATTGAAAAGGCCCAAATACGTAACAATGTCTCCATGGAAAATGATAATGTGATATAACATTGGCTTGTGCCGTCTTAGAACAGGATCAAGGTCTGATGTGCAAATGTGGCCTGTTTCCTGTGAAATTACAAGCAGTGTTTATTTTTTCTACATGCACGCCAGATTGAGGACATACTTGCTGGGGGAATTGTGAGCTGCCAAAATTGAAATTAAATCCACATTTGTTGATAATACTTGTATTTTCATACCATAGTAGATTATTCCTTGCGATGTACATTATATCCTTATATTCCACATTTGTTGATAATGCTTGTATTTTCATACCATAGGAGATTATTCCTTGCGATGTACAATATATCCTTATATTCCACATTTGTTGATAATGCTTGTATTTTCATACCATAGGAGATTATTCCTTGCGATGTACAATATATCCTTATATTCCACATTTGTTGATAATGCTTGTATTTTCATACCATAGGAGATTATTCCTTGCGATGTACAATATATCCTTATATTCCACATTTGTTGATAATGCTTGTATTTTCATACTACTGCAGATTATTCTTTGCGATATACAAAGGATAGTGCAATTAAGAATCTTTTTTCTATCTTCCACACTCTTAACACATATTTATTCAGGGAATTGTGACCTACAACTATTTTAATTAAATTTTCATGTTCATGTTTGTTTATAATGTTAATACCTTTAGTTAGTGTTCCATGTTATGTGTGGGACACAGACAATTTTGTTGCGTTCCCATGGATATTCATCGGTAACATGTAAAACACATTAAACTATCAACAACAGACTTTTTTACAATGACAGTTATCCAAAATTACAATATTAAAGATGGGCGGCAATGTTTGAAGTGCAACATTATACATGCACATCGTGAAAATCGTCTGAGCTGGCACTATATCTATGCCCAATGTTTTTGCAGCGAGACATTTTCCGTCTCTGCCGAAGTAATTTTTCGACATTTTTTATGTGGACTCCACAAGTAGATACCTACATAAACAATATTGACATGAATTCCACGTGTCACTCTCCACATAAATTTTCGTACATCATCGTAGGGAGATGCTGAAGTTGTTAGATGGTTCTATCAGCTTTGGAAGACTGCCGTAAAAATCAACATATTGCGACTACCCATCCTTGCGTCTACCGGAATGCAAATATGCAAATATGCATCCGTTTGACATATTCTTGGCTGCAAGCTTTTTCTGGATGATTTCATACATGATCAAAACAAAACGTGAAAACGATGGTGTGCATTACAACGGTTTCCAACTCTGAAGTCTGTCGACAGAAAACATAAATAATAATCACAGCAGGCTATGATAATCAGATATCTATGTTCGAAAAATCAACTCTGAAGTATCTGTCGACAGAAAACATAAATAATAATCATAGCAAGCCATGATAATCAGATATCTATGTTGGAAATATCGCAGTTAAGGACCTCACAGAAAATCTGGATTTGAATTGTACATATGGCCAGCTTATCAGATTAGAAAACAACAAATTTGATTGTCCATATTTTTTACATAAACCTGAACGTCATACTCAATATTGCTTTTGGATGTGGGTAAGATCAATCCAAATTGTAAAATTTAAATTAATTCATGAATGTTCTCTCAGAGAGATTTTCCTGAAAATGTTGATTGGTTTTAATGAAATTAGTGAAATGGCTACCACCAATTTGAAGTGGGAAGAAACATTTCTGTTTCTGAGATGAGTCATGCCCAGTCCATGTCAGTAGCGTCAGAATAATTATATGTGCGTACTGTAAGTTAAGAAGTTGAAGCGAGTACGTTGTGACAAGGCCTTCAGTTGTCATTTGACATCAAATACACCTGACAATGCTTCTAATACAGATATTCACTGAGGGATATTTTTCAAACCTAGAGATTATGGGTATCGGTAAAAATTCTAAACTTCTGCAAGATAAATTATTAAAGGTTGTCCTGTTTTGCTCTTGTTCATTCCCTGGATGCAGATGACAATTGTCAGTTCGCTGAAAGGTATCGTATGATTTGATGTTTGAAAGATGAAAACCCACGAGACTCTCTCTGATACCTGTCATTTCAAGACAAAACATGATAGTCTTCCAATGAGTAGCGAGTATTTCACAAATCCCATCTGAACTATAGTCAAGTCATTGATTCTTGAAATGCTACTGCCGGAAATATGTCATTGCCTTGAGAACTGAAAACACAATGGACGCAGCTTTCATTGCTATTATGAGTTTCAACCATAGGAGGGGATATAACGTGCAGCAGTAGGTGAAACTAAACCGATAGAGATTGGAGTTAGTTTATCCGCTGGTAAGGCCTTTCTAAAGGCAGCCTCATCACAAGCTGCGAATATGTCAAGATATTACAGTCCTATACAACAGAATCACCTCGGTGAAATCATAACACAGAATATATAATAGCGCCATCACGATTAAACCCCAGTTGGTTATAATTGCACAAAGCCCTAGGAGATATGGTACGACAAAATAATCAACAGATTAAATTTGTCTCCTTGAACCCACCCTGGTTTTACAGCATTTGCTGCAGGCAGTATATAACATTATAGTGACACAACAGCAAGCCAGTTGCATCGTGTGGTATAAAACAAAAGAGCTGGTTTTATTAATCTGGCCATTTGCGACATAATTTCACCGGAGCCCATATTGCCAGAAGATGGATGAACACTTTGAGTACAGATTGGTTGTGTTGGAAGACATGGCTAGCTCATCCTAGACTGTACAGTTCTATTGATTACATTATTAACCCTATACAGGATTTATCTTTCCTGCTATGTCTTCAACGCAGGAGGTAGATACAATGTGTCTTGGTGTCAGGCCGTACCTGTCATCAACAGCGATGCTGCTAGTTTCAGACGACGACGAAGATAGTTCGTTACAGCTGCATGAGTCATTCATTGCTTAACGGACAAATTCAGACTTTGATTACAGGTGTGATGAACTATTGCCTCTCTTTAAAATTTGTCAGCAATTATTAGAAAAAAAGCAATAATGCAATAATCACTTCATTTTTAAAAAAGGAACATACAACCAAATTTTGGAACATAATAACAAAAGTTATTGTAATTGTGATGAAAATTGAGTTACATTTTTACTAAATATAAATATAATCTGTTTTTCTGGTTTCAAGAGCCTACCTGTATTAAGAACGTAAAAGCAGTCAAATATTGACATAATTAATACTTTATTTGTTCCAAAGCCTTTATTGTTATAGAAATTCAATAATGGAAGACAATAGCTTGGAGCCATCTTTATGAAGAAAGAAAACCCGGTTTGTTTCATTCTGCCAAATTCTCCAAAATGCGGTATAGGTTTGGTTGTCAAATGAATGTCAACATATCATGACATCTGTGACAGTATAGCTTGACGGTAATAGCAGTGGTTGCAGCTTGAAAAAAAACAACGAAAAATAATGACAACTATAAAACACTTGAACTCCATCCCTCGCTCACAAATCTCTTTTCCGAGATAGTCTTTATTAAACACTCTCTGGTCAGTGATGCGAGGGAAATGGTTAATTGACAATGTTATTGGTACTTACGAGAGAGATGGTCCCAAACTGTATTGCTGTTCACTATTGTCCATGATTGTAAGAGAGAGGTGAGAAAGAATAACGATTGCAGTGGTAGAGTATCCATGATCCGAACGTCGTCATGCACAGTTATTGTGAGAATAGCCTTACTGTCCCCGTGAATAGGGGTGTATAGGTGAGGGCGATAAGGATCCGGTCTCCACACAACCTAGCAAGGAGCAGTACCCACACATGTGCTGGTCAGATAAGAATAGCACACTGAATGGTGGGGATGTTATAGTAGCAGACAGCCTCGGCCAATCACATCCTGGCTTCTTTATGCTGCCACATTGCCATGCCAACAGTCAATGCCACTGGAGACCTCAGGAGTTATCTCCCATTCTTTGTTTGCTCTCACTCTCTCCCAGCCCAGAATGAAGAAGTTTTAAAGTATTGACATCTGGGTGTCTGCAGCTGAAAGATGATATGATGTAATATCAGGTAAACTAGAATTTTATTTAAATTGTTTAAAGGGTGGTGAGTTAAAGCCCCTTGTTATTGTCTTTAAGTAATTACTGTAACATCAAGCCGAAGATGATATCTGTTATAGGTTCATGGAAACTTAATATTCTAGCACTTTCAAATTGCATATACCATATTGATAAAGGAGGAAGGGTATCATATCTATGTTAGCTGGATTAGCAACATATTTCTTATTGATACCATTCATGTTTTTCAAATTAATTTCTGAAATCCAATCTTAATGTGAAACTGTGATATTAATGCATCTCTGTTCTGTTTGCAACAAATTATTTTATGAGAACTTAGTTTTGCAACCAGAGATTAAGAATGACTTCTACTTATCTTTTTGATAAGAAAATGAAAATATTACTTTACTGAGGGCTAGAAACCATCTAGAAATATCAAACCTATACAAATTCAACTATCCTTTAAAGTATGCAACGTCTGTCACAGTCATGATGACAATCACTAGATTATTTGGTCCAGATTTCATTATTTACAACTCTCCATCAATATTGCTAAGTGAGATGGTAAAAAACAAATATGCAAATGATACTGTTTTTTTTCAAATCTTCTTTTGTTCTTGAATTTTTAAAAGGCTTTTGAGATTGAAAGTTTAATTGTCCTTTCATCTTGAAAGCTGCTATATGAAGTCATCTTATATGTCTTTTAATAGTGGCAATACCAATATTATTAACCCACTGTTGCCTCAATGATTGGTTTATCCTGTCGAGAGAACTTCCTTACCTACGTGCTTTGTTTTCAAATTGTGTGAGTGATGGGTGCTATTGGTCAGGGAAAATGTGTTTGACTTTTTCACAAACACCTGGTGTCATCACTGTCGGGGCGGTGGGGTAGCCTAGTGGTTAAAGCGTCCGCTCATCACGCAGAAATGATTTGGTTCTTTTATTGTTATTCTGTAAATGATTATGTTCTTTTATTGTTATCCCGTAAATGAGTAGGTTATTTTATTGTTTTCCTTGAAATGAGTAGGGGCGGTGGGGTAGCCTAATGGTCAAAGTGTTGGCTCGTCACGCTGAAGGCCCGGGTTCGATTCCCTACATGGGTACAATGTGTGAAGCCCATTTCAGGTGTCCCCCGCCGTAATATTGCTGGAATATTGATAAAAGCGGCGTAAAACCATACTCACTGACTCACTCATTCCGTAAGCAGTCATAATTTTCACCATTGTTTTGCCTTTTTCGTTCAATGGAATCTGTTTTGGCGAAAGATTGAGACTGGTTCTATTGTGTCTGCATATATTTACAATGTATCTGGACAAGCGCTCTCTTAAAGTTTTGAACATTTAAACGCACAAACATTATATTGTTATGAAGGAGTGGAAGGACAACCCAGGGGTGGAAATAACTTTAAAATTGCTAGTGTACTCCGGTACAGTGGCACAAGTAAAATCACTTGCCCTGATAATTTTTCCACTACACTGGCCGATTTCTTGTTGATTTTTTAAATAAACAACATAATTAACATTGGAAAGTCAACTGGACACCGGTACAGTGTGATATACAAATATGCTTGCCCGACAGAAAAAAACACTGGACTCGGGCGTCAGGCAATGGGTTATTTCCACCCCTGTAACCATTTATGTATCTATGGATATTGTTTAGTGAGTACAATTCAAGAATATTTAGTATTCAGCAATTTTATTATTTTCCTTCATATGTGCTTCACAAAATGTGTTCCGCCATTTTGATTCTCAAGCGTTGAGGTGACTGAATAATTTTTGCAAATTATCAGCAGTGTTTGAGGTCAGTGGTTGTTCAACTACGAATATTTAACAAGATAACTGAATAGTCGCCAATAGTACCAAGCACTTCCTTTTGAAATTTTCGTAACCGTTACCACAGACTGAACATTCAAGCAGACCCTGTGAACAGTTACTATCATTATGGAAGGTGTATAAGTGCTGTAGTTGCTTAGAGATAGATTCCTGTGGATTAATATACAACATAGCGGAAATTGTGTAATGGAGAAGAACACCGCCTTGGAAAACGAAATGATGAAAGACTGTGACTATCCCAAGGGAAATCTATCACAAACGGGTTTATGAACATGGAAAAACCAGACATGAAGTATGTGGCTTGCTCTTACGTTGGTAGACAAGTTTAGAACAGTTCACTAGGTACGACAGGTGTTGCTGGCTGATAAAGTCCAGGAAAATAGATATGGCACCCTTCATAAGATGGTAATTGCATGAAAACTGTTGAGAACGGCAGCTCGTCACAACTGTCCTAGAATGTTTGGTATGAGTTTTAAATAAGTTAGCAGATTCAGATCAATAAGTATGAAGCATTTTGTTTTTTAAATATGTAACTGAATACATTTTATTAATATTTTGCAGCATTTGTGGTGGAAATTATTCAGGCGTAGTGCATGTATGTTTAGTAATATGGACAGGGGGCTGAACATTTTATGAGACTTTTACGATGGAATATATGTTTATTTTAACGGAAACATTTAACCTGTTTTATAATTTATTTGTATTAGATGCTGTTATTAATTCCGATGTTATTAGCTTTACAGTTTTCTGGAATTAAGTTTTATTGGATATGATTTTGACACGCTAAGAATGTGCAATCTCCAAATGACTAGCAGTTTCTAAGAATTGTACAATATCAGTTGTTCGTATCTATATGGGCAACATTTCGCAGGAATAAATGCAGGTTTTCTGCCATGAATGTAATCGCTTGTAATGATTGGAATGTGTTTAGTATGGCTGCTACAATAAAACTGACTGTGATATGGAAATGAGATCCACCTGTCACCGCCGTTATTCCCCTCGAGAAAAACTCATAAAACCTCATTAGAAATTGCGCTTGATGCTTTGCAAAACAAACAAGTATTATTTCTACTTATTTAAGAACACAAACTGTACATGATAAATTTGTGTAAGACTTTTTGTAGATATTTCACAAGAATTTTTTAATTGTACACTGGAATTTCCCTTGACCTACAAAACTAGGGGTCCAGAGAACTTCCCAATAAATCATTTCCAGAGTCCTTACAGGAATTTTAGGGTTCGCTAAATTAAAGAAATGATGTGTGTACAGAACCGTATGTTTTAGTATTATTTTGATTACGGGAACAGTATATTTTCGGTAAAGAATTTGGTACAGAGAATATAATTGCGCATCCCACGGAATGCAATATATTTATTTGTCTGTGTCTATTCTGTATGTGTGAGTACTTGACTCACATTTATGTGTCATGTAAAACCCTGATTGAAACCATGCTCCTGTTATGTTAAGGTTACTAATGTTGAAATGAAATTTTTCCGTTCCCTAATCTCAATGTTATGAGCATATTTTGTCGTCAGATTTTTACTTTATGGAGATATGGGCTTGTTAAAAACAAACACAAAGGGAGATAGCAGTATTTGACACAGACTGTATATTTGATTCATAAATGATTCACTGAAATACTTGTGCCAATTCCTTCAGAGATTGCCTATATTACAAAATAGAAATGTAAAGCTTCCTAATTAGATATTGTTTCTTTAGGATATCATAAACTTTCCTTATGTATTTTCTAAAGAAGTCATGTAGCATATTTTTACTTTTATCAATTTCCCATTTCATGCCATCCTTCGCTGATAGAATTGTTTGATACAACTCTGTGCATACGCTTTTATAGTCTGACATTAATTTTTATGAGTGCAGATATACATGAAATAGCATCACGCCCCTTGGTAGATTAACAAATATTCTAAATTTTGACATTTATCAATAGTTTTAAGATGGTACAATATTTGTTAATATATTTATTTTCACAAGAAAGAATTGGTACAATTTTTAAAAACATTTTAGTTAGTTTATGAGATAAAATGAATTAAAACAATGCTTAAATTATTTTTGAGAAAAGAGATGACTTCGGAATATCTCTTTTCCAACTCTGTTTACAGGTAAAATGAAAATAAACTGACAGGGGCGTAGCTACCATTATGAAAAAAAGCCCGGGTTTACACACGATTGTTGCTAAAAAGTTTGGGCAAGCCCTCAATAATATCTAAATAAAAAGCTTAGCAACCTGTCGGGCTTACACGAAAAAATGGCTTGCAACGCGCCTGACTGACATAAGTGTTTATCACTGTTCTTTGTTAAACTCTGTTGATATGTATCGAAATCTTAATTCTTTAAAAAAGAACCAGAAATTTATTTATTTATTTTTATTTTACCATGCTGAAATTTGTCTAATTTTCTTCCATTAGTAACAGAACTAGATTAGAAGTTAATAATTATAGCGACTAAATTTCCGACCACCTATGTTGAATTTAAAGGCCAAACCATTTTCATACCAGTTAATTACAAATACAAATCCAGTGTGTACTTTTTATGTCTGAGAATCCTGCTTGTTCCACATGCTATATTGACGAGGATGCTGCATCTGTGACCATGCCCATTTATTGTGGACTGATACTTTCTGCAGATGTTCAAAGGCTGGGTAAATATTGTAACTCCCAGAATCTGAAATTTGGCGGTTCATAGTCTACAAGACTTTAGCTCCCTACTGTTAAAATCTGCCTTTCCCACATTATCTGCTAAAGTAAATAAATAATAGCACTAACTGTCATGTTTTTACTCTGAAAATGGACAGCATGACTGGTGTTGTTTCAAAGAAATAGGGGGCAGTAGGGTAGCCTAGTGGTTAAAGCGTTCACTCGTCACGCCGAAGACCAGGGTTTGATTCCCCACATGGGTACAATGTGTGAAGCCCATTTCTGGTGTCCTCCG